TGAGTCAATGGCAGTCAAGTTGTTCTTGAGATCAATAATAAGAGTTGCATAATCTGCTAATGCTTGTGTTGAACTCAAATAACCCAATGTAGTCTTATTTGAATATGCTATTGTCTTGTCTCCTCCATATGGTATTGACTTCCCATAAAACCTATGCTACAATGTAAACATATATATAAAAAACACAAAAATCAACGAGTTATTAGAAGCTGTAGTGCCTTTTATAACAAGTTTACAAGAAATTACGCACAAAATAGCCCTTTTCAGCTTTTTAAAGTAAAGAGAGAGTATTAGTTAGAACTCAAAAATAAAGACCACACTCCAAAATTGTAGCGTTCAAAAAGAGTATCACAGGTTACTGTGTTTCTTATATATGTAGATTAAATTGATGAAAGTTACAAAACTATAGTGTGAATTGTTCTAACAAAATAGCTTGATGAGTACCTCAATGAAGACTAGGAGGGCATTAAAATGAGGAGCAATTTCAAACATGAATCCAGTATTTTGAGTGAACCATTCAATGTTACCTTCATTGCCAGTGTAAACAAAGATAGGAGCATTATTCTTAGAACCACCCCAATATTTGTCATTCAACAAATATCTTTGTTGAAAAGTTTGTGGATTATTATAATTGAAGTGGTCAAGAATTTGTGTGAAGTAATTTGTCTCATAACTAAGCTTCCCTTTAGATGACAGTTGATCATCTAAAGAAGAAGGGAATAATCTTGGTGGAATTTTGGCAAAGGAGATTGGAGAAAAACACACAAGAAAGAGAAGAATTAATCTCATTTTCATTTGTTTCTACAACCAACAAACAAACACACTGAGGGTATATATATATATACTCCTCTGATTGTTAGGGATTGTCCTGATTTTCTTATTTGAAGTTAATTTTTCTCTGAAGGAAAATCAACGTATTAACATAAATAATTTGAGTATTCCTGAAAGGAAAATATAATTTTCTTTCATATTTGAGTTATTCTTCCCTTGAGGAAAAATTTGGAACTATATAAATTGAAGACCTCTTTATTCATATCAAGAACACAATAGTATCCACAATGTAGTCATAATGAGTTTTGTTTGTGGGAGATTTTTCTCTCAACAGTTTTAATATTTACTTTTTTATTAGTTTTTCATAAACCATATAATAATATTATGTTTTTAGTATAAGTTTTTGTCATCTGATTTATTGATATAATGATTTGCAATTGTAAGCTTCCGCATGATGTCCTAATCACTTTCAAACCCAATATTTATCTCAATTTATACGACACGGTTTCTAGTCAGTCAACCAAAAAAAATGACACATTTCTTTATTCGATAAATATTCAATCATACCATCATTATTTTACATGTGTTAGGTCCCACATATTTGGCAATATCCATAAAGGTGTATTCTTTAAGTCTTTTTAAGGGTAGCTTCGAAACATAACAAAATATCTTTATATGTCTTAAACTTTATGTTCAGTCAAATAATATCACATAAATTAAAAAGAAAGAAAAAAGTATTATATATAGTGTCCATAGAGGAAAAATGAATCTATCAATAGTAGTATATAGTTTTAATTTGGATTTAATTTATATCCATCGATTGTAGCAAAAATATAATATTATGATGATATTTAACATAGTTATTAGTGTAACATGTTATTTTTCATATTACAAATTTCATATGTTATAAGTAATTTCATTAAATGATTTTACGCAATCAATATATAAAGAAGTTTAACTCAGTAGGGATTGTTTATAGCTGATTTGAAAGTGAGTTAATATAAATATTAAATTTTGCATAAATAATATCTACAGACTACAAGTTTGATAGCTAATTAGAAGATAAGTTATTATTTATACAAAACTTACTTAAAATAATAAATTTCCTCATAATAAAAAAAGTTGGGGTTGAATTGTGGTGGACTCCAAATATAAACTTAGAAGTTAAATGTCGTTATTATCGAGAAAGTTCACATCAAAATCATCGTCTTATTATAATGTAAAACTTTGATTTCTATGGTTTCTAATTTTAGTTATAGTTCAAATACTACCTTCGTTCACTTTTAATTATTGTAATTTTCTTTTTTAGAGTCAAATAATAATAATTTTGACTAACATTTTACGATGTATATTTTCATCATATTGATATGTAAAAAATTGGAATTTATAGTACTTTTCGTATAATTTTTTAATATCTAAATTTTTTGTTTAAAATATTGAATTAATGACGTAATCTAATTTAACTTTAAAAATTAATCAAATTGACTTTCAAAAAGCGCAACATAACAATTAAAAGTGGACAGATGGAGTATTAAATAGGGAAAATTGTATATAATAGCAAACTATTAATTCAAATTAAATGCTATAAATATAGTTTGATTTAATTGTACTCCATAGCAAACTGTTGCTATTTCACCTCTCTCCTGGTGAATCTCGCTCGCCACTCTCATTCTCTCCCTCACCTCTCTCATTTTTTATACAAACGCAAGTGTATAAAGTGCATTTGTGTTTGTATAAAGCGAGAGAATTGTATATATACATATATTTTTCGTTCCCCCTCTCTACCCCCTCTCCCAGATCTCGCTCGCCACTCTCCCAGATCTCGCTCGCTCACTCGCCTCACTCACTTTATACAATTGATCTTTGTATATGTATACCAAAGCAGATTATACAACTGCTTTCAATTGTATATGTATAGCGAATTATACATATATATGTTTGCTATAGAGCGCAATTATGCAAACTTTGCTATAGCATACAAATATGATTTTTTTGTTTGCTATATGTGAAAGTTGCTCTATTAAATATAGCTACCCAATTTTCCAAAATCGTACTGGGATATCTCCGTTTACTTTTACTTATACATTTTAGCATATAAAAAATAATTTCTTTCTTTTATTTTATTTTACTGTTAGCATTGACTACTCATTTCATAAGTTCATTAAAAGTGATACAAGAATTAATATGAATATCATAAAAAATATGCTCCTAATTTTTTTAAAGAAATATGCAAAATTCATTAAAAATCATATAAGGAAAAATGAACGGAGAGTATAAGATTTTTGTCTTTGCCTTTTCACCCTCACAAGAAATAAAGTCAGTGTTAACTAACGAGGGATAAATATTACTCAAAAGTATAACTATAAAGATATATTTGTTAAAAAGATATAATATAGAGAAATATAACTAATATAGGGCAAATATGATTATTTTTCGATAAATATATTACAATTGAACACAACTTGTGAAAGATTTTACTAAGGAAAGTACCAAAATTAGCATTTTATAAAGATTTAACTTAATTTTCATTTAGACCCTTGAGGTTGTAAGAAATGATTACTTATCCCCTTATGGTCTTAAAAATTGTAGATACACCCTTATAACTAGTAATCAAAGTGCCATAAGGTCTTAAAAATGGTAGATACACCCTTATACAGCCTTAGTTTTATAAGTATATATATTAGTGTTGACGCCTCTATTGACACAAGTTGAAGAGGCATCATAAAGTTGTGTATGTATTCAATCTTAGTTAGTGACATTATTATAATTTTTTGACACTCTTTAATGAAAATTTTGATTCCGTCATTGAGAATATATATATATATATATTAGAAGGATGAATTAATTATTCATATATATACACATACCTCAATGAAGAGTAGGAGGGCCTTAAAATGGGGTGCAAAATCAAACATGAAACCAATGTTTTGAATAATAAATTCAATATTTGCTTCACCTCCAATATATACAAATATAGGTGCATTTTTCTTGGTACCACCCCAATGTTCATCATTTAAAATATACCTTTGTTGGAAAGTATTATAACTTTGTGGATTATAGTTAAAATGGTCAAGAATTTGAGTGAAATATTTTGTCTCATAATTAAGTTGAATAGAGGGAGCACAAAAGCAAAAAAGAAAAAGTGAAAAAGAAAAAAAAAATTAAATTTGTTTTCATGGTCGAGGGGTAATTATTTATTGTATATGAGGATGGGTAGTATATAAAATCAAGTCTTCTTGTTTTAATAGCTCGCTAGATATGTAAATTTTTTGAAAATAAGGCTAGAGAAGTGAATATTTAAGGAAATTCTGCATCAACATTATCAGGTTTAAATGAAAAAAATAATAACAAGGAATATTATAATTATCAGCCAGTCCATAGAGGATCTGAAATCCCAAGAAAAAATAATTGTTTGGATATTGATTTGGGTCGTGGGGTCGTTCATATGGACTGATCGACTTGATCTTATTTATTTGAAAGAGAGATAATACCAAAGGAGGTTACCTAGGAAGTTGAGTAACATCTTAAAGAAAACTATTGCACAAAGGTTAAAATGAAAAAAGTAGAAATTTCAGAAATTTTTCTATGATAGTTTTTCTAAGTTCTCTCTTTTATATATTCTCCATTAGAAGAGTAAAAGTGTGTTGTTATGAACCAAGTTCAACCCAATATGGTTACTAAGGTCACACAAGTAGTTGTTGGCTGACAAAAGTTATTGAGCCGAGAACAAGCAATAGATTAAGGCTAATTTGGGATCTAGGTCGAGGAGTGGGTGCATGTGAAAACCGTTCTATCAAAAGGGATAGTGGTCAATGATTTAGGGATTATGCATATTGAAGAAAATGCATGTCCTCTCTTTTTCTAGAGTCTAAGTTTCTCATCCCCATTCTTATCTCTATCCTTGGCTACTTGTTATTTTCATTTCCATTATAATTCAGTAGTTTAGGTATTACAATTTCAGTTCTCTTATCAGTATAGTAGGGAATTCAGGTCTATTACATTGTAAAGAGAATAAAAATCTCCTTTTGCTAAACAAAACACACAATAACATTAGAACATCTAACTTTGTGGAATCAAAGTTTTATTTGTAAGTGATTCAAAGTAGATCCAAAGCAAGTTCATCTATTATAATATCAACAATTTCCACTAAATTTTAAAGTACACATCCATTGTTCATTAGATATCCTTTAATTTATAACCTTTTCTTATTTGGATTTGGACAAAAGATGTTTGTAGGCACATGGATAAGACATTCCTTTTTGTATTAATAATATATATAGTTGGCAATTGTCATAATACAATATATAGTGGAAAAAAACATTAGTCCTAGTACATTGTTCATTAGACAACAACACAATAATAGAGAGGGTGGCCTTTGCACACCACTACATTCTCTCTTTACACATGTCATATGAGTAAATTAATCCATCAATTAGGATGGGCTGAAAAGTAAGCCAATAGGCCCACCAATGGTGCATTAACATATGTTGTGGGCTCAGATTCTTGAAAAAAGGGCCTCGCGTCTGGGAACGAATCTGTTAAATTTGGCCCCCCAACAACAGCGCCAATTAAGCGATTTGGATTTGGATTGGGTGAAAAAAAGTAGTGCGATCCTTCTTTGCAACCTATACGTGCTGAATGTGCGGCCACAGATGGTACTGAGCTGCCCCTATGGTGAATCCTTAGTGGGTAATGTGGACCATACCCTACCATATATGACATTCTTTGAGGATTATCTCCAAGAATATAATCCACCTACAATTCATTACGATTTTTTTAGTCAATCTCAAAATAATTGAAAAATAATTAATGATACTATCAACATTTTAGTCAGGTTAAGTTCCAGGTATATATGAAAAAAATGATTACCTAGGATATATTTTCATAAAAAACAAGTAGATTTTTTAACTTATTTTCTAAGATATGTCGAGTAAGTAAACAAGAAAATATTATCCTAGAAGCATTTATCTAGTAAAACATTATGGAGACGAGATGAGATGGGGAGTGGGAGTTCGAGGGTGGATAATCAAGGAGCGAGGGTTGAGGGATTGAGTGAGTAGATCAAAGGAGACTAAATCCAAAATAACACTTATATAACTTGTTTTTCCTACTTTTATTAAAGAAGTCAAAATTTTCCTCATTTTTTAACATTTTGACCAACTGAACATGGAAAAATTGAAAAATATTTTCATGTACACCAAACACATGCAAAAACATAAAGGTGTATTCTTTTTAAGAGTAATTTTGAAACTCTGCAAAAGTCTTCTTACATTTCTTAAACTTCCTGTATGGTTGAACTATATCAGATAAATTAAGACGAAGAGAGTAGTACCTGACGTTTGGCAATGTGTTTGAGGAGGGCAGGGGTGGCTGTCATGGAACCACATGGCACAACATGATTGGCATGACTAAGATAATTAGAATAAGTTAAGAGTAGGAAGGACAAAGATGTCACATGCTGCATGTTACAAACCCCAGGTTTGACAATGAGTCCACCTTCACATACACACAACAACAACAAAACGACAAACAAAACAAACATTAGTATATAATTTAATTTAATTTACTCAAATGGTTTATTATTAATTAATAACTATTCCCAATTTACCTGGAGAATATTGAACTTGGGGATGAGAAATTCCAGGTAATATTGAGCAAATGAAAGCATCTGCATTTACTTGAAATGATTTTAGATCTGGTGCTTTTCCCATTAACACTTCCTGTCAAAAATTTTAAAAAAAATATTTGAAATGCTAAAACTTCATATTCCAACTAGTTGAGATTTAGTATATTTCATGAGATAAGGAGAATCTAAACACCCATGTAACTTGTCAGAGTATTGATGGGAGTGTGTGAGGTTAAGTTTCGCGGACTCGAGTTAAGTTTTGCGGACACTTCACTTTCAACACATTTATTTACATTTATGAAAAGTTTGAGCAACATAAGGATAGGGGGAGGGGGGAACTTAGTCAAAATATTACTGGTAGTGTTTCAATGTATATGACTCGCTTTTTTTCTCCAATCAATTCCAAAAATAATTACACTTCTTTACATGTACTAACAATTTTACTTTAGAATGCTTTTTTTTTATTATTAATGAAATGAATAATAATCACACAAACATCTATGGTTTATTGTAAACCACAAGTTTTAAAAGCTTTTTTTTCTTTCTTAAACTTCATATCAAGTCAAATTACATCACATAAATTGAGACGAAGGTAGAGACAAAGCTAGCTTATACTATTCATACATAGTTAGAATTACTTGTTATGTATATGCAATGAATGTCAAAGCCCTTCCAATAGTCAGTGTATTTACTTCTTCAGATTAAAAATTCTAACTCGATCGCTGACCCGAGAAAATCTTTACTACTACAATGGTATGTCATTATCACACTTTTATCGAGAACTGCCTTTTTGCACATGCTTACCACTAGTAAAGTCACTTCTGTTACCCTTTATTACTTCATGAAGGACTATTACCAACCTCACATTTTTTGTCTCATTTTAATTTTATATCATTTTTTGTCTATACACTTCACATGGAGTACTTCTATATATAGCTTTCACCTTCTTTTTCCCCCCTTTTTATAGATTTTAAGTATATATATATGTATATATTGGTGCAAATAAGTTAAGTTTGGACACCAAACACATATGGAGCCCATAATAACCTAAACTCTATCATGTGGAATAATTATACACACAATTAATGATGATTAGTGTTTTGAAAGTTGTTTAAGGGGAAAAAATATCAATGTGCTTAATTACTTGGTATGATTGAACCTTTTTTTTCCTTAAAAGGTCTAATTAGTGTTTTCATAAGAGCAATTTCGATATTTATTTAGTGAATTATTTAATTAACGTTTTAAGATGAAGCAGTTCTACATTAATTTTCAAATAAGAGTGGGCCCACGAAATGGACATTCTGATATGGATAACTATATCTATCTACAGCATGTGATTGGCAGACTGAACAAGTCAAGAATAGATATCACAAGAATATATCTAAGTCATAAATGAGACAAGGACATATTATTAAGTAATGAGAAAAAAAGAATGCAATTAATTAAGTACTAATAATGTCTCCTTAACCATAGTATAATATAATTAATTAAATTACTAACCTTGGAAATGAGAACATTAATACCAGCATGTTTGTTATCCCAACCAAATTCATTAATTGTATCTCCAGCTCTTAAAATAACCTCATTTTTCACTATGTACTCTCTATATTGCCTTCTTCTTGTTGCTTTGTGTAACCATGCTGCACCCCAAAGCAATTCATCCTGTACATTCACCCATTTTTATATCAACATTACTAATTTTGACTCGGAATAAGTAGATACGTGTGTCATACATGTATTACGTCGCGTAGAGCGTGTGTGTTTACTTGCTTAATTTTATACAAATTTAAATATCTACTTGTGCATGCGCAAAATTGAATGATATAGATATCAGCTAAGACCAGTTTAAAGACGCGTTTATGTATTATGCGAGATAAACGCATGCGCCCTACATGTATCATGTCACACATGATATGTGTGTCTACTTATTCTACTTTATACACATTTAAGTGTCGACTTGTGTATGCATAAAATTGAAGGATATAGATATCAGCTAAGAGCAGTTTAAGGACACGTTTATGTATTATGCGAGATAAACACATGCGTCCTACATGTATCATGTCATACATGTGTGTCTACTTATTCTACTTTATACACATTTAAGTGTCGACTTGTGTATGCGCAAAATTGAAGGATATAGATATCAGCTAAAACCAGTTTAAGGACACGTTTATGTATTATGCGAGATAAACGCGTGCCTCCTACATGTATCATGCTATGACGTGTGTGTATACTTATACATACGTAAAATTCAAGGATATAGCTATAAGTTAAAACCAATTGAAGAACACGTTTATGTATTATGCTAGAGATACCTGGTAACCATCAAAGTCACAATAGAAAGGGCAAACAGCAGAGTGTAGGCTGGAGCTGTATGCACCTCTATGCCTATTGGCAAAATCGAAAACCTACAAAACAACCAAAAGACTGATTTTAATACAACGGTCATATTTTTTTTAAATTTTTAGCTTTTTCTGATGGATGATAGTGACATTTAGAACTTTACATAATTTGTTAGACAAACTATTTTTGTGACTATACATAAAAGCATTCATCAAATTTAAATTTCAACATATATAGATAAAAATGCATGTGTAATCAATCTTCATAATTACCCCTCACAAGTCTTTGTTCACATGCAAAACAAACTTTATATGTCCACACTAGCTAGTGACTTGACGGAACGTTTTGTGTAGACTGTATTAGAAAAATAATATAGTTATAACTTTATGTATTATTAGTACCAAATTCGATACACTTTTTCAAACGTTAATTATACACGTTAATATTAATATTAAGATATGTATAACTAATACACGAGGGCTGTTTGCTTCAAGTGCCAAATCCTTGGAAGGAGTCAACAAACTTATTTAATGCCAGTTCAACAAGCAGAGAAAAAGACACTAACACAACACTGCCCAAAGCATTTTACTTTTTAGACTTTACAGAATGAATCAAACCATTGATGGGCCTATCCTGGATTTTCTTAATTATTTCATTGAATCAAAACTCTCTTTTTTAACTTTATATTATATATATACACATGCTAATTACACATAAAAATATGGAATACAAAATACATAATTTCACTCCTCATCAATTTTATTTTATTTATTAAAAAGGTAAAAAAGAAGATATGAATGTACCAAAAACATGTTGATTCCTTTATTCACAAACAAGTCAAGTAGTAAATGATAAAAAGGTACTATTCTTCTGTTCATTTTACGTAATGATAGTTTTACTCGGGACGGAAATTTCTGGTCTAAAATGTGTAATTTTTTTTGAAACCGACTAAAAAGAAAAGTAAGTCATATAAATTGAGACAGAGGGAATAAAAGATATTGTCCCTTACTTTAACAGCGCGATCAAGTAGTAGATTTGAGTACGAAGAGTCCAGTGATCGGAAAACAATGGAAGCAGCGGCTAATGCAGCAGCGATTTCACCGGCGACTTCGGAACCGGGATGATTCTCATCAATTTTATAAACAGTTCTTAAAGTATCCATATCTTCTGGTCTCTCCCAACAACTATGATCTGAAAATGCATCACCTACTTGAACATATATCACTCCTTCCTTCGCCGTCGCTTTTAACAGAAAATCCGTCCCCCATTTCACCGCCTTCACTGCGTTCCCCAATTCGTTCCCTATGTTCCTTTTAAAGTCTATTATGCTCCACGATAACAATGTCGTTGTAAACGCCATTGGAAATACAAATTTTACATTATCTCCCGCATCGTAATAACCTCCTGTCAAATCAACCTGCAACGAAATTCAATTAGGTAAAAGCTTAGTAACTATGGAATATTATCGATAAATTTTGATTATTACTTACTCCGGCGGAGGCACCGTCGTGCAATGCGGAGTCTCTACGCCATTTGATACGTTGATCCGGAGGGAGTTTTCCAGATCGTTGTCCTTCGAAAAAGAGGATACTCTTTCGGAGGGCGTCATGATAGTCATGACCCCCTCCGAAAGAGTATGAAAAAGAGTTAAGGAGAAGGAAGAGGAAAATGAGGGAAGTATATTTTGGCGCCATTATTTGGTTGTGAACTCAAAGGAGAAAAAAAAGAGTAGCTCAGGCTCACAAGTAGTAGTAAAAAGAGGATTATAAGACTGATTTTATATATAAAAAAAAGTTGTGCTTTTGTTCATTGGATTCCTGGGGTTATACCAGTAGGGTTATGACACGTGGTGGTATGGTATTGGATTTGGTAAGCTGAATTTTGACCGTTTTGTTGGACCGGGTTTTTTTTCTATTTTTGATGGACCGGGTTAAATTTTGTTTTTTTGCTTTTTAAGATCTATGAGCGAGATTAACGGAGGGGAAAGAAGGATTTAATCATAATTTGTGTGCGCTAAGCTATAATTTGTCTTGTCTTAGTGTCGGCGTGTCATAGATTTAGCAAGCAGAATTTTTTTTATGAATTGTGAAAATTATTATAATAGTCAAATAATATACCTAAAGAGTACTTTAAAAATTTAAGAAATTTTATTAAAGTTTATTCGTATCTCTCTAGGTCCTTAAACATAAAGGAAACCGATAGTTACAAAACTTCTTAATTGAGTATAATTTACTCTTTTCTATAATTTTCTTTTTAATTTGTGTATAAGCTATTTCTATATTTATAGTAATCCCCCTAAATTGCTTTCAATTTCTAGTTTTTCATATGTGATATATCTTAGTTCCCCGTATTGTAGTTGGGAGAATGCTCTTTTTTTTTTTAACTATTTCTAATGGCTACTTATGATCCATCTTAAACATTGTGTTGCTTGGCCCTTTCATTTGTATTTTAATTACACTTACAATAGTTATTGCTTATCTTGTCTCAATTTATATGACTTAGTTTTCTTTTTTAATCAGTTTCAAACAGAATGATACATTTTAATATTAAGTAACAATTTAATTTTAAAATGTCTATTTTACACTTAATAAAATGATTTATAGCTACAGAAAATTATATTATTCATTTTAAAACTTAAGTTTTAAAAATCTTTTTTTTAACATCGTGTCAAGTCAAACTAACTCACATAAAATGTATCAGACTATCCTTTGTTTAAGGTGACTCGATCTCATCAATACACATGATACCAATTTTAACTTATACTCCCTCTGTCCCTAATTACTTTCCGCTTTTGAATTGACACACCTATTAAGAAAACAATGATTGACATAATAAGTTTATCATTTTACCCCTATTAATTATGAAGTGAATGAATTAAAAATTTAAGAGTTTCAAGAAGTTTTATATTTTTCAAAGTGATTAATTGAAGGTATAATAGGCAAAAAAAATGTCCATTCTTGATTTGATAAAATAGACAAGTAGTAATTAGAAACAACTAAAAAAGAAAAAGTTGACAAGTATTAGGGTCGGAGAGAGTAATAAACATGTTAGATATGAAACTTTTTTATTAGTTAATAAAGTAGTAACCTTTTAATTTAATTACTACTTACTCATTTACTTGCATAATTTAACCAAAAAAAACGGTGTGGAGTTGTGACAAAAATGAATGGGGTGACTCACCGTCAGTTGATGGGGAACACGTGGAACTTTTGAAATGGGTCCCACTTAAGTCTCAACTGTTTTGACTGAAATAATTTTCGCCGTTGATTTAGTGGAAATATTTGATTTTCGCTATCATTTGCGTGAGGCATGGTTAAGGAGTATTCATTCATGTGGCGGTGCTAAAACAATTAAATTAAATATATCTTTCTAAAGGTGGTTGGTTACACCTTTATTTATTTTTTATTTTTTTTGGCTTCAAGTAGGCGTTTGTTTATGAAAATCAAATATTATTCACTTTATTTAAAATGAATATATCACTAAAAATTGTATCGAAGTAATAAGTATTTCTTCATATTTAATCAGGGATTTCAGGTTTGGGTCTCATTGGGTACATAGTCGTTTTTATTATGGAGCGCTTTACTTGTTTACCCTCCAATTTGTAACTTTTCGACATGAATTCGGGCTCCAATGTGAATATCAGACACCATATGAAATATCATAATAGATAGTCACATAATGCAGAGGTGTAGTAGCTACATAGATCGACGGTGATCAATTGAACACCCTTGGTCACAAAATCATATTTGTATATATAGGTCAAAAACTATATTTTAGAGACTGTCAAATTTTTGAACATTCCAAATTTCGTTACTGACATAATGTCATAGATTAAATCTTATATATACGAGCTATTACATACTTTATTTTAAAATTTTAAAATTGAAATTAAAGATAAAGTTACGTTTGGTTATAACTTTTATAAACAATTTCAAATTATAAAAGAAATTGTTTTGACGAAGTTTCAAATAAAGTGAAAAAATTGAGAGTGAGACAAGCATTAGAAAAGGAGGGTTAAGGAGATAGCATGAATATAGGCGTATAAAACGCTTTTGACACCAAAATGAATTGTTGAAAGAAAAGTGTGTTGTGATTTTTATGAACACATTTATAAAGTGATTAGGACTAAGAAACAACATATATAGAAATTAGAAGAGGTAGGGTATTAGACACCGAATGGAAAATTGAAAAAAAAAAACAAATATGATTTATACCTCCGGGTTTACTACATAGAATATATCATACTAATAGATAGTCACATGCAGAGGCATAGTAGCTACACATATCGAAGGGTGGTCAATTGAACATTTTTTGTCACAAAATTATTGTATATGTAGGTAAAAAAAATATGTTATAGAGACTATCAAATTTTTGAACATTCCAAATTTCGCCACTGACATAATGTCATAGAGATCTAATATATACGAGCTTCTATATATTATTATATTACATATATCTCTTCACTCTATTAAAAATTTTGAAGTTGAAATTGAATATAGAGTTTATGTTTGGTTATAGCTTTTACAAACAATTTCAAGTTGTAATAGAAATGATTATGACGAAGCGTCTGATTTTCAAACAAAGTGAAAAAAATTGTGAGTGAGACAAACATTAGAAAAGGAAATTAGGGAGATATAGCATGAATATAGGCGTATATAACGCTTTTGACACCAAAATGAATGTTGAAAAAAAAGTGTGTTGTGATTTATATGAACACATTTATCAAGTGTGATTAGGACTAAATAACAACATAGAAAGAAGGGGTATGTAGGGTCTCGAGCCGCTAAATTTATGGGAATTATCCTTCTAATTAGCATTCAACATGCAATGTACACCTACAAATACCTATTACCTAACTTTATTTGACTAAAGTTCACCATGAGAATAATTTTTGAAATCTCATAATTAACCATAATCATATTAATTACTCCATCTGTCCCTAATTACTTGTTCACTTTTGAATTGACATACTTATTGAAAAAACAATTATTGATATAGTGAGCTTATCATTTTATCCCTATTAATTATGAAGTAGATGCATTAATAACTTGAGATTTTCAAGAAGTTCTATCTTTTTCAAAGTAATTAATTGAGGATATAATAGGCAAAAAGAAATTGTCCTTTCTTGATTTGTCAAAATGGACAAGTAATTAGGAACAACTAAAAAATGAAAAGTATACAAGTAATTAGAGACAGAGGGAGTACAAGTTTAAGCATAATGATTTTGTGGTTTGATCATAATCATGTTAGTTACTAGTTTAAGCATAATGATTTTGTGGTTTGAGAAATTACATATACCTATCCTATTTACATTTTTAGGTAACAAAACTTGATTCAAGTGACTAAACTTTTTAATGTTCCTACATTGTTTTTTTATTATGTGATTTTTTACTTACTTACGTAAATATGATATGTTAAGAAAATATTTATCATTTATAGCAATTACATCTTTTTTCACGTCTACACGTAATATAGTTTTAATACATCTTACATAGAAAAATTTATAAACACATATTATACAAGTTTATTGATAGATAATACATTTATCACATATTTTAATATATTTATAATACATTGTGTCAATTTCTTACAAAACAAGCATAATATATTTATGATACGTCTATATTGCATGCATAATTACTTTTAATACATACTACATATTTATCATAGTATTGCTATATATTGCTATAAATAGTAATAAATTAAAAATATTGCTAAAATTAGTAATTATTTATTAAAAAGATACTCACACAAGTAATTTTACCATACTTTTGCAAGTATACAAGGGTCTGTCTTACAGCTATACCAGACCATAAACAAATGGATTGCAAATTGTTTTAATTTGGGCCAAGTATACAAATGGACTCTGGGCCTAAACATTTGAGAGCTAGTCAAAGAAATTCAATTGACATTTAATAGTTAAAATATACTCCCTCTGTCCCAATTTATATAACTTACTTTCCTTTTTAATCAGTCAAAAAAGAATGACACATTTCCATATTAAGTAACAATTTCACTATAAAATGTCTATTTTATCCTTAATGAAATGATTTACAGCCACACAAATTTCTATCATTCATTTTGGACCACAAGTTTTAAAAGTCTTCCTTTCTTTCTTAAACTCCGTGCCGAGTCAAACAACCTCACATAAAATGGAACGGAGGGAGTATTTATTTATTATATATGTATTATACACTTGTATATACATTTTTAATACAATATATATATATATATACACATTTTTATCAATAAGTTTAATATTCACTTTTCATACCATATATACACATTATATACAATTTTATCAGTACACTTTTTCCTACACATTTATATTCACTATTTCATAACAATATACATTATATATATTTTTACCAGTACATTTTTCATACACACCATGTGATTACTAGCTGACACATGCAAGTCAATACATTCTTAATAATCTGGAAAAACACTATGAAAACTGGCATTATTATTTCTGGAGAATGTTTTCCTACATATATACCAAACTTGTGCTTCTTCTCCCTCCCTTCAACCTTAATTATTATCGTAGTAAGTGTAAGCTTTGCCACTATTCATCATTATTATCAATGCAGTCAATTCTTACTATTAACTACGGCTTAAGTCATATACAACCCTTCAAAGTTGTCCGCATATTTCACTTGAACACCTTAACTAAGTCGTGTACCTATTGAACACCTCTAATAGTTCGAATTGATACCATCTGAGCATTTTTTACTTACGTGGCATTTTGGGTGTGATTCACGAATAATAAGCGCGTGAAAGGATTAAATTAGACATTTTTTAAACTTAAAAATCTCTTTCTTCTTCATTGGACTTGTTGCCATCACTTCTCCACCTTACCACTCGCATCCGCCATTGTTGCCATAAACACCCTTCTTCTTCCTCATTTTTCTCTTCCTTTACCATCATTATCATTTTATTTTTTCAGATTTGTTATTATGGCAGCCAATACATCCATTTCTTCCTCTTCTTTTAAGCAACAACTACGAGAGAAGGCCCAAAATAGTCCCTCATCTTTGGGTTGAGACTCAAAGTCATCCTTGAGTTTTCACATGGAGCACTAATAGTCCCTCATGTTTGCAATATTGGTGCACTTTTGGTCCTCCCCTAAACTTTTGCCTATTTTTTAACATTAATTTTTTTCATAATTTTATGTAAGGAATGTTCTATCGTCTTTTTATATATTTAGTAGAAACAATAATTCTATGTGAGAGAAGGTGAGAAAAAGAACACATTATTCTGTTCAGTATAAATATTACTGCAGCTAAACTAATAAGAACATTTTAACATATGACATTGCTAGAAAAGAAAAATTTGTACTATTGCACGTGAAATCATCGTGATGAACCTCTCGACTTTACTTGCAATACGATTTCTACTAAACAAAACAAGGTGTTTTTCTTCTCACAATCTCTCATATGGAGTTATTATTTCTACTAAATATATAAAATGACAATTAAACATTCCATTCATAAATTATGAATAAAATTAATATTAAAAAATAGGCAAAATTTTGAAGGAGGACTAAAAGTGCACCAATATTGCAAATCTGAGGGACTATTAATGCTCCATGTGAAAACTCAAGGATGACTTTGAATCTTAACCCAAAGATGAGGGACTATTTTGGACCTTTTCTCCAACAACTACCATCACCTCTACCATTAACATCGACACTTGGTCGTATTTCTTTTCTTCAACGCTATATTCCTTTTCTTTTTATTATTATTTCTATAGTGACTTCATCTCCTCTATCACATTGAATCTATATTTGCCATTATTGTTGATTTAGAAGATTCGAAAAAATAAAAAAAAGGAGAGTAGTGTTCTGATAGGTAACAAGGAAGAACTTGGGTGGTTGATAACAATGGTAACTATTAAAGTTTTTTTAATTTTTGTTTTGAATCTAAACGATTTGCCATTGTTAATCTATGGTAAAGAAGAACAAAAAATAAAAAGAGAAAGAGACAGTGGGGGGGTGGGGATCATGGGTAGCAAGGGAAAGGTTTGGTAGGTGTGGGAATTGTGCAGGGATTGCAAAATTTTATTTTATTTTTTGTTATTTAAAATATTTTTTTCCACTCATATTGAATTATATTTTTTTAATATTTTTTTTGGATCCAACTGACACATGTCATAATTTAATTTGTCATAGTGCCATGTCATAACGAGTGTATCTCACACACTTAATATTTTTGGCTGATTGTCCAAAAAATGTCAAATATGTGTCAATCCTAAGTGGTAAAAGGGTTCAATAGGTACAAGGCTTAGTTGAAGTGTTCAAGTGAAATATGCGGACAACTTTAATGGGCTGTGTATGACTTATGCCTTTTATCTTCACCATAACGTTACTAATTATCATCATACATTCTTCGGCAATTACTATCAACTATTAACATCAACCAACTCCATCAACCAACTAGAGACAATATCTTAATCATTCTAACTTTAAAAATCCCCTGGACTTCGATTTGGTGGTACTTATAGAGCTCAATACGTGATGTATAGATTATGCATTAAACACTTGGTTTAAAAGCTTTAGGATTTTAGATTAGCGGTAAGAGAAGTAAAATTAAACGTTCATTGATCAATTGTTGGCCATGTCTTTAAAAAATAGTCAATATCATGAAAATTTTGAATTTCAAGTGAAATTTCATGGTAAAGTCCTCGAGTTTCACATGTTGAATTTGAAACTCTATATGATAACAACTATTTTTAATTAACATGATTGAAATTACTTATTTGTGAATTTTACTCAAATTAGAATGCAACACATAATGCGTTGATATTATACACTAAAAGTCTAGTACCTAGTTATGAATCGACTTCAGAAATTTCTCGATTATAGAAAAAGTCCCGTTAAGAAAAAATTGAATTGATGGATTTAATGAAGCTCAAATATCTCAATAATCCAACTTTCATTAGTTTATTAAGAAGCACTTTTTAGTTTGGACTAAAGATTTCAACTAATTTGCTTAATGGATTAGGGGAAAAGTTCGTTGTTTAGTTGTCAACTCATGGGAATAAATTAAATTAATCTCGACTTGACTAATCCATGCAAAAATAATATTCTTAACATTATTTGAAAAATATTTTTTCTATTTAATTAATTGTAACAAAGGTAGTCAAAGAACTATAGTAATAAGATTAGGTAATATGATATGATTTTCCAATTAATTTCTAACTTGGTCCACCAATCATTCTTGTTCTATCTGCCCCATTAATCACCTTTTTTGCTTTCTAATTTAAAAATTGATTTACTACTAATAAACTACCTTGCTAACTAATTAAACAACCACTCTTTTGCTCCTTTTAAGCTATGATTTTTTTTTTAAAGTTCCATTATCAAAATCCGAGATACATAATAGCAGTGGTGAAGTCAGAATTTTCATTAACGAATTCAAAAAATGAAAAAATAAACACATGTAGAAGTCGAAGAGAGTTCAATATCTACCATATTTACATAATTTTTTTTTATAATTTTAACCATGTATTAAAAAATTTAATTTTTCATCGAAAGGGGTTCAAATGAGATCCCCGAGACCCTTATTAGCTCCGCCCCGCCTACTTAATAGAATTACACAACCACCCTCCTTTTTGATAGTATTGAACAACGATTATTCTCTCTCTTTTTAGCTAAATAAAGTTAAATCTTACTAAAATAAAAAATTGAATTGATTTTTAAAATTCCACTATCAAATTCTAGATATAGTATACTTAAAAGAATTAAACAACTAACCTCCTTGCTAGCTCCATTAGCCTAAAAAATAAAAATTATTTTCCTAATAATTTACTTTATTTAAGCACTATATAAGGTCCATTCCACTTAATCATTCTCATCACAAACAAGCAAAATATATCATAGGCATTAAGCAATCAATTGAAAACAAAATCACCCCCACAAATTAATTATCTTTGATCAAAATGGATAAAAGTGAGTCAACCAAAATTGAAATGGGAGAGAGTAGCAAATTAGAAAGAAAATTAGGAAAAGCTCCACTTTTAGGATCACCATCTCATGCTATTTCATCAAGTGTTCCTATAGTTTCAAATAATAAAAAAGTTGGTAATTACAAGAAGGGAATTTCTATTTTTGATCTAATCTTGAGAATTGCATCTGTTGCTACTTCTATTGGTGCTGCTGTTGGCATGGCAACTGCTGGAGAAACTCTTCCTTTCTTCACTCAATTCTTTCAATTCGAAGCTGGTTATGACGATCTTCCTACTTTTACGTAAGTAACCTGTCTGTCTTCATTTTAATGATTACAATTTTCACATCTTAGTTAGGCTAAAGTGTAAATATCCTTCAAGTGACGTGATAATGTAAAGCGATGTACATAACACTACTAGAATACAAAGAATTAGCGACCAAACAAAATTTCGTAGCTAAACAATAAAAATCTCATGCTAATCTCATTTAGCTACATATTAATGACATATTATAAGAAAATTCAATTAGCTAAAAGCTATTTAGCTTCAAATTAATTAACTAGGAATTATCAATAAATTTCACAGTTAATTTTATGTTTTTTTTTTTGTAGACATAACTTAAACTTGCGCATATATGATACAAATATCAGATATGACTTTATTAATGTAATGGTTAATTTGTTGTACATATTTTGTAGGTTCTTTGTGATAGCCATGTCAATAGTGGTTGCCTACCTAGTCCTCTCCATACCATTCTCTATAGTGTGCATTGCCCGCTCTCATGTCGTTGCTCCAAGACTACTCCTCATTATTTTTGACACGGTAAGATATTATTACTATCAAAATACTTCTTCACTTTTACTTTGTCTGACACTATCTTTTAAAATGACGTACTTCTGACACTGTATGAACCAATAACACAATATCATTATAAACATCATTTTTTTTTATTAATGTTGTGCACATTTTTTTAGGCCATTATCACATTGACAACATCAGCAGCAGGGGCATCAACAGCCATAGTATACTTAGCACACAATGGTAACCAAGATGCTAATTGGCTTGCATTTTGTAACCAATTTGGTGATTTTTGCCAAACAACTAGTGGAGCTGTTGTGGCTGCTTTTATCACAATTGTGCTTTTGCTTATCTTGATTGTGTTGTCTGCTATTGCTCTTAAGAGACATTAATTGACCAAAAAAAATATATTGTAATTTGTATTTTCTTGTTGTTACTTTTGTAATTGTACTTTTGTGTAAGTGTTAATTTATTATGATGTTTTTATTTTGGATGAGGGGGGAGTGTGTTTGTAATGTTGTGTTGGTGTTTGTAACTTTTCACTAAACAGGGAGAGGTAAAAAAATTGTAACATTACAATTGGTGAATTGTGAGAATTAATATTCTGATTTGTAATTTTCTTTATATTTTTTTTTTTACTATATGCTATTTCATTTTTATGATGTCTATGTAACTTGTTGCAAACACCTATTACTACACAAATTCTCTTGATATATAATTTGTGATTTTGAAAACCATTCTATTATTGTTTGATTATGCATTTGAATGATTTTTGTTTAGTTTTTGAAGAAGAGCTTTTCAAATTTGTTGGTCTTTATTAGTTTTTAAGTGATTTTTTTCTCAGTCATAAAATTTCAATTACTTTTTCAAATGAAATGCACGCTGAAACACTTTGTTCTCCCATCCAAACTATCTTTCAAATGATCACTGTCGACCTTCCACAACCTTCAGGTGTTCCATCTTCGTGATCAAAGAGATCGTATAGCTTGAATATGTATACTTGAACTTTCTTGGAATGTGAAAAAGTACATTTTTGAGCCTCAAATCTTCATTAAAAGTTCTCTTCAAACCTTCAAAGTAGCGATTCGATGAAAAATGTTCTTGAACATCTTTACTAGGCTGGACATGCTTGCATCACTTTCACCCTTGCCATTATCAATCAAATCTTATAGAATTCCACTTAGATAAGATAATAACGACAAGAACATTTAAAAACAATGAATATGTTATTCAGTTACCAAATGTGAATGAGGTTGTTGAATATCATGTTTATGAGGAAGCATCTGACTACTTCATGCATGCTCCACTTGGCTATACCTTTTAGCTAGCACATGCTAAAAAGGAAAAGTAAATAGCCGTTTCATGCTTGACTCAATCAAAATATATCAAAAAATCCTTAAAGTTTTTATCATGAAATTTATATAAAACCAAGAAAAAAATAATCTCCAAGAATTTGATTTAGTGGTGAGATCCCAATGCATGTTGTATAGAATAAGTACATGTTACACTATTAAACTCCCCCCTACACAAAAACATGATATATGGAGTGAAAATAGTAAAGAAGTAAGCTTATATTCATCGAGTTTTGAACCTCGCAACACTTGTCTTTGAGACATAAATGGACAACTTATTAAAGGAAAGTGACTTGAAATTAAAAAGAAAAATTGTGAGAAAAAAATGATTTCTAAAATTTTAATTTATTTATAAAAGAAGAAGAAATAAAAATCAATAAGAAGATAAATATATTATTTAATTTAATAAAAGGAAAAAATTACTTATCTTATTAACTCACTCAATAAAAATAAAAAAAATCCCGCCGGCCTCCAGTATCAAATTAAAAAGATTGTTTAAATTCTTAAAAAAATTAAATTTATAATATTTTACTTCATATATTTGGGGCAAAAGACCAGGGTTTCACCATTATTTGAAATTTGTTCACTGAAGAGAGTGTAGCAGAGATGTGGCCGAGTGCAGAAGGAGGGCCACCGGAGGTCACTCTAGAAACTTCCATGGGTTCTCTTACACTTGAGGTACTCTATTTTTCTTCCTTTTTGTTGATTTTGAAGTTGTGTTTTTGCATAATGATGATAAAGTTGAAATTTTGCAATTTGTTTAGATGTATTACAAACAAGCACCAAGAACTTGCCGGAATTTCATAGAGCTTGCTCGAAGAGGCTACTATGATAATGTCAAGTTTCACAGAATCATTAAGGTTTTGCTTTTTTTCTCATTTTAGGGTTCATTTGGTCCCAAAACAAGTTATTTCAGGATTAGTTATCGCAGGATTGTTATTGCTCGTACCAAATGAGCGCTTAGATTGTTGTGCTTTTGGATCTTTATTAGTATTGTTTTATCATTTTCGTTTATGAGTTTTTTTTCTATTTGGGTATAGGATTTTATTGTGCAAGGTGGAGATCCAACTGGTACCGGAAGAGGTGGAGAATCAATCTATGGGTATGTAGATGTTGTTAAATAGTGTGTTATATGTGTATGTATTTACTTCAAATTGCATTTGATATCCTATGTGAGATAAAAGAAGGTAGGCCAAGTAGGGCATTATAGCTAATTCAATTCTTGTTGGAGAGCAGATGGTAAAGCTAGTTCTTGTTGGAGAGCAAGTTAAGTGGAAATCAATCTAGTTAGTTTTGGGGATCAAACATTTTTGTTTCCTACAAAATAGGAGCCTCTCTTTACTCTAAATAAAAGATGCTAAGAAGTAATGCAAGTCTATCTTTAATAGCTTTACTCTACCTCTCTTGTTTCACTTGTACTTTCTACTACTCCCTCAGTTTCAATTTATTTGTCTTACTTTCCTTTTTTCTTTTTTGTCTGTTTCCAAAAGAATGTCTCTTTCATGTTTTGACAACCTTTTAATCCCAACTTGCTTTTGTTCATGTTATCCGATCCAAGAATTATAATTAAAACTAGTGAACATGAACTTTATTGCTCTTGTGAAGCAGCATGCCATATCTATGGTATTCATGTGATGGAAAACACTGCTGCCTATTGCCATCTATCAAATATCTCAAAAAGATTGAATGAGCATGCGTGGAGTTTTATGGTATAGAGAGTGTTACCATAATAAAATATTAAAATGCAATAACTTATATTCACATCAATGTTGATAAATAGCTTGATTTTGCATAAATATATCTTTAGAATCTACTTAATTCATACATTTCTAAATTGTTGACATTCAAAAACTTACAAGCCAATTTATTTTTTAATAAATGGTACAACACAACACAAGGATGGTGTTAAAAATTAACAATAGTGTGCAAAGCTCCGATCTTTTCTACATGGTATCTACATCATATATAAAGGTCATGTTGTACCAAAAAAGCTAGCAAAGAAATACATTTGTGTTTAAGGCTATGTATCTTTCCAGGTTTACCTTTGAAAATTCTATTGTTTCTTTCGGTCCAAATGGTTCACCAAATGACCATGGGAATAGTGCCCCAAAGCCTATGTGTCTTCTATTGAGACTATCTCTTCTACAACTATGTAAGAAATCCAGTATGGCTACGGAGTTATTATTATAGGAGATGTCCATAATGGCAAACAACATGCTCCAAATATGATAAATTATCTTATCAACTATCTTAGGGTTCTCTTTATAAAAGGAACAGCCGTTACATAATTGCATTTTTCCTCTCTGAGACTTTGATTAAGTGAGGCATTGCTTCCTTAGCCATAAGCCAAGTAAAACAAGAAACCTTAAAGGGTGCTTAGTTGTGACTTGTGTCAAATCTTCCCCCAAGACCAAAGATCAATGTCGGAAAAAGTCAATGACATGTTACAGACAACTTAGAAGATTCCACCTGAATGGAACCTTCATATAATAAAGCATCCCTGTGTTTATTTGGGAGGATTGTGCTTTGGGACTGTAACATAGAACCAAATCTTGCAATTTCCCAATTCCTTTTTAAGAACAGATTTCATCATTGAGCATCAGAAAAATCGGCTATAGCAGCATTATGAAGTGCAGAAAAGTTGTCAAAGGGAGGAGATGTGGGGTGAATTTGCAGGAAGCAGGGGCTTGGGAAGATCAATGAGTAATGATCTACACAGTCATATATAGCTTTTCCTGGAAGTTTATTAGCAAGTTTTAGTCCTCTAGAAAATTCACTGGGATTTGTTGTGGACATGTTTAGATATCTTAGAGGAACAATTCGGATATGAGTTTGTCTTATTAATTAATCCAACTCACCGCTAATTGGTTACGTAGAGGAATTTTTTTTGTTCGATCGACATGAAGCTTGATCTCAGATAGGCTATTTATTCACGTATGGCGGCAAAACCATATCATGGCATTTAACAAATAAAAAATGGTTATTAATTATTTAAATCATATAGAAATAATAGACCAAAACACATTTCACCAAAACAATTTCACTCATTGTATTCAAAAGATCTGGTGAATAGTTGTTCAACAAGTTTGTTTAAGTGATAATGTAATAAGTTAACTGGGGCATTGGCAACCTCAACATTTGATAAGCCAATAAATACAAGATTGCAATGTGTCGTCTCCAAAACAATATATGTTTTCATCAACGGGATTAGATTACATGTTGTACTCTCTTTTCCTTGATCAAGGTTTTTGTTCCAATGGATTTTTCCTAACCAGGAAGTCATGCAAAGGATAATACCACTAAGCCATAACTTCTTTCTCTTAGGGGTCGTTTGGTACAGTGCATAAAAATAATGTGGAATATGGCGTATTAGTAATGCTGGGATTATTCTTATGCACTGTTTGGTTTGGTGTATTAAAATAACATGCATAACATAATTTCTAAAAAATATTTGTTTACAAAAATACCCTCCACAAATATGGTGGAAAGGATGTGGAAAAGGTTTTTGAGAGACAATTGTGTCTTTAATCATGCTAATGCATATATTAGAATCCCTTGCATTGCTAATATCATATATGTATTAGTTGTATATGACATAATATCAAATAAAGTGTATAACTAATGCTTGCAATAGCTATACGAAGGTTGTAGAAGTGTACCAGACAAGGTATTAGTAATACACAAAACTAATGCATCCTACCAAACGACCCTTAAAGTGTTATTATTTCAGCAGTTGCACTAACAACCTGGATTATCTTATATATTTTATAAATCGATGTTACTATATATGAATTATCAATTGTGGAAAGTAGCTATAGAATTATCTATTTTTCTTAAAATTTTGAAAAGAAGGATAAAAGGAGAGACAAGATGAAACTGAATGGCTAATCTCTCGTGACTAGAGTTTGTGCTCAAAGTAGCATGCCAAATACATAGTTATATTACTGCTGGCATACATCTGTTAAAGGTACATTAAAACCGTTTCTATTGTCAAATAAATGTAAATAAAGGGCTAACTATCTGTTCAAGGTTGCTGCTAACAAACGTAATATTTTCGACCACATGCTTAAGCTCTTGTCGTTCTGCATCTAGTTTATTATCTCCAGTGGTTTCGGAGAAGATACATCATTAACAAGGGACTGATGGTGAAGATTTAATTGGGGCATCTAATAGTTGTGTCATTTACTGTTATTGATTATCATTTATAGTCATACATAAACTTGTCTGTCTGACATAGTGAAGAAGAAGATCATCTTTTGCATACTTGGCCTTTTAGTGACTTCTTAAGTTAACCTTGCAGCCAGAAGTTTGAAGACGAGATAAACCCACAGCTAAAGCATACAGGAGCAGGTATCATATCCATGGCTAATGCTGGACCAAATACAAATGGAAGTCAATTCTTCATCACCTTGGCACCTGCACAGTCACTTGATGGTAAGTATACATATCCAGGTTGTTTTCCATCAATTTGTATGAATAGGCTTTTTGATGTTGAATCAGCTGGCTGTAGTGCATGTGCTGATCTATTTTCGGTACCTTGCTCCGTTAACACTATTTTTCTGTTTGTATATCAAATAGTAAAAAATAATTTCTAATGGAACTTGAAATGGTGATAAAAAGGTGTTCCAAAAATTCAGATGAATCCCCTTGTCAACATGATTGAGCTTAAGTTCATGGATGACTATCCATGTATGTGTGGAGGATAGTCATGGTTGTCTATCCATGTATGTGAGGAGCTTAAGTTCATGGATGACTTCCATGATGAGATGCTGGCTCTCTTTTGGCTTCTATTGAGGATGATGAATTCATACCAAACCAAGTTGGGGGAAGAAATCTTCTCTCCTTTCCTAGATTGTCTTAAAATTCATGAGCTACCATGTCAAGGCTGCCTTAAAATATTTGGTACATGATTCCAAGATCAATTCTTGTGACGGCATTCTCATTTTTACAATGATAGAAAATATATTTTAAGACCTTGGTTATGCTGAATCTAATACTCTTGCCCCAGCTCTGTTGATGTGTCTCTCTAGTCTGCAATTAGCATAAGCATGATTAGAACAGTTGTGATCTCTTCTTTGTTTGTAGTTTTTTCTTATGATGCACTGTTGTAGCACACTATTAGCTGATGAGTTTTCGTTCAATGTGATGTTAGGGAAACATACTATTTTTGGAAGAGTTTGTCGGGGAATGGAAATTGTCAAGAGACTTGGCAGTGTACAGACTGATAATACTGACAGGTAATGTGCTTCCTTATAATATTTGTGTTTACATTAGAATGAGAACAAATGTCATGCTCTAGCATTGCAAAAAATGTTATGTGTACAGAAAACATCAATAATCAAGGTCGTCTTTGTTTGGAGAATGAAATTTGCAGAAAGAGTAAATAATTTATTACTTTGTATGTTAATGTTCTTGTCAACTTGTCCTTCTCTGTTATATGTTTGAATGCAGAAAAAACTCATTCATGCATTTAACGTTTGTTAGTCCTATCTTTAAAATCGTACTATTGAGTATGAAAGCTCTAATTCCAGTTCCATTTGATATCAATGCAGACCAATCCATGATGTGAGGATATTGAGGACTACTGTCAAGGATTGATCTTCTGCATCTTTAAAAACAAATGTTATATTAGCTAGAGCATAACAATTGTTTTAATTTTTGTCATCACAACTAAGATCCATTCTATCTTCTGCTTTCTAAGTGAGAAAAAACTGATTTAGGTCTGTATGTGGGAACGTGGATACAAATTTTGTGCTACCAAAATGATACTAATATGCTATTTTGTGTGGGGCTTAGTTTTGTGAGGCTTATGCCCCGAACGTACGGCTGTACGTCCTAAGCACATGTAATGCTTAATGTTTTGACATTTTAGACCTTGCCATGACTGAATTTTTTCTTTCTTTTTTCTTTAATGATGTGTGTGTGTTTTGGGATCTTGAAACATGAATTCGTGATTATATAACATAACAACATGTAATGCTTAATGCTTTGACTCATTAATGTTGCTCATAGTTTTTCTAGGGAAGACATTGCTTTTTGGAGTTAATGGATCATGAAACAGTAATTTAGGGTTATCTAAATTTTTTGTGTGTAATATCTATAAATTTTTCGTAACATGTGTGACCGATTCTGTTTGAGCTCAAAGTTTGTGCGACCTAATAAATGACACTCTTAGTTTTGTAGAGAATTGCATGCCTTCTTTTTTTGGAGATAGAGTCTCGAAAAAAGAAATTTATGGAACACTCCGTAGGGAGTTGGGGAACAATACGTATGGTCTCACCATTTTCTGACTCACTATTGGGGATTCAGGGGCCAATATATTTTGGTGATATGACTTTCAAATGACTTCTTTGATAAACCTTCACAAAACCCTCCATATGGAGTTGAGGGAGCAGTACGTACTATATATTCATTTTTGAGTCATTTTTGGGCATTTAGAGGTCAATTTACAGGAATTAGACGGTTTTCTCAATTTTCGTGTATATTAGCCTATGAATATTTTGGTGATATACCTCCAGACAATTTCTATGCGAAACTTTTATGGAACCCTCCGTAGGGTTCTCGCCATTTTGGAGTCGTTTTTGGGCATTTAGGGGTAAATTTATAAGAATTAGACAAATTTTTTTAGTTTTTCATGTGTTCAACCCATGAATACTTTGGTGATATGACTTCTAAAGAATTTCTTTGCGAAATCTTTACGGAACTCTCCGTAGGGAGTTGGGGAGCTGTACGTACTGTCTTATTATTTTTGAATCATTTTTGGGCATTTAAGGGTTAATTTACAGGAATTAGGTTATTTCTTCGTTTTTCGTGTGTGTTAGCCAATAAATATTTTGCTGTTGTGACTTTCTGATACTTCTTTGCGAAATCTTTACAGAACCCTCCAGATGAATTTGGGGAAACAATACGTACAGTCTCACCATTTTTTAGTCATGTTGGGCATTTACAGGAATTAGATGATTTTCTCACTGTTTTATGTGTGTTAACCTATGAATATTTTGGTGATACGGCTTCTGGACGATTATCTTGCGAAACATTTACATAAATCTCCATAGAGAGTTGGGGGACAGTATGTACAATCTCACAACTTTTCGAGTTAGGGCATTTAGGGGCCAATTTATAAAAATTAGGCAAATTTCTCTATTTTTTCGTGTGTATTAGCTCAGGAATATTTTAGTGATATGGCTTCCGACGATTTATTTGCTAAACCTTTACGACACCTTGAGTAGGATGTTCTGGGAGTAGTACATATAGTCTAACCATTTTTGATTCATTTTTGGGAATTTAGGGGCCAATTTACAAGAATTAGACAATTTTCTTAGTTTTCTTGTGTTAGCCTATGAATATTTTGGTGATATGACTTTCAAAAGATTTCTTTGCGAAACTTTTACATGAACCCTTCGTAGAGAGTTGGGCGAGCAGTATGTATAATCTCAGCATTTTTGAGTCATTTTTGGACATTCAAGGGCCAATTTACAGAAATTAGGTGATTTTTTCAATCTTTTATGTGTTAGCCCATGAATATTTTGGTGATATCGCTTTTAGATGATTTCTTTATGAAACACTTACGGAACCCTCCGTAGGGAGTTGGGGGAGCAAAATGTATAGTTTTAACATTTTGAGACATTTTTGGGCATTTAGGGGCCAAATAAAAGGAATAAGACAATTTTCTTTGTTTTCGTGTGTAAGTCTATAAATAATTGGGATAAGGGTATAAAAAATATCTTAACTTTGGTTGGATTTGCTGTTGCGATACTAAACTTTCATGAGAAACTATTACCTCCCTAGACTATTTAACACCATATTTTAAACATATATAATGCCCACGTAGACATAAAAAATAATGCAAAATTATAAATAGTAATGTGTCTATGTGGGCACATATATACCTTTAAAATACACTATTAAATAGTTCATGGGGTAAAAAATACGGTATTAAATAGTGTAGGGAGGTAATAGGTCCTTATGAAAGTTTAGTATCGCAACAGCAAATTCGACCAAAGTTGGGGTATTTTTCAGACCCTTATCCCTAAATAATTTGGTGATTTGGTTTCTGGATGATTTCTTTGTGAAATCTATATGGAACCCTCCGTAGGAAATTTGGGGAGTGCTACATACATTCTCACCATTTTTGAGTCATTTTTGGGCATTCAGAGGCCAATTTACAGGAATCAGACAATTTTCTAAGTTTTTCGTGTGTTAACCAATGAATATTATGGTGATATGGTTTCCAGATAATTTTTTTGCGAAACCTTTATGAAGCCTCTGTAAGGAGTTGAGTAGTAGGTACAATCTCATCATTTTGAGTCATTTTTGGGCATTCAAGGGCCAATTTATAGGAATTATGCGATTTTATCAATTTTGAAATGTGTATGTAACTTTTATATTTTTTCGTGTGTATTAGCCCATAGATTTGGCGCCTTGGAGTACCCAAAATATTTTTCTAAATTTTTTTTATGAGAAACTCCGTAATGAGTAGGGGGAACATTTTAAAAATAACACGACTTTCTTGGTATTTCGAGTGTATTAGCACATGGATCTGGCACCCAGAGCACCTCAAATTTTTTTCTCAAAAAGATTTATGAGGACTTTCGTAATGAGTTGGGAAACTTCACGTGTACTCACACTATTTTTTTAACGCCCATTTCCTCATTTACAATCCCTTTTTTAAGAATAACCAAATTACCCAATTTTTTATGTGTATTAGCCCATAGATTTGGCGCCCGAAACACCTAAAAAAAATTTCTCTCAAAAAACCTTATGAGGACCTCCGTAATGAGTTGGGTAATCTTTATGTATACTCACACCATTTCTTTGACGCCAATTTTCGCATTTACAAACCCTTTTTGAAGAATCGCCCAAATTTTTCAATTTTTCGTGTGTATTAGCCCATAGATCTGGCGCCCGGAGCACAAGTTTTTTTTTTCAAAAAACTTTATGAGAACCTCCGTAATGAGTTGGAGAACCTTCACGTATACTCACACCATTTTTTTAATGCTCATTTCTGCATTTACAAGCCTTTTTTAAAGAATCGCTCAAATTTCTCGATTTTTCGTGTGTGCACCATGGATCTGGCGCCAGGAGCACCTAGAAAAAATTTCTCAAAAAACTTCATGAGGACCTCCGTAATGAGTTGGGAACCTTCATGTATACTCACACCATTTTATAACGTCAATTTCTGAATTTACAAGCCTTTTTTTAAAAATCGCCCAAATTCATCAATTTTTCGCGTGTATTAGCCCATGTATCTGGCGCCCGGAGCACCCAATCTTTTTTCTCAGAAAGCTTAATGAGGACCTCCGTAATGAATCGGGGAACATTCATGTATAATCACACCATCTTTTTAACGCCTATTTTTGCATTTACAAGTCCATTTTTAAGAATCGCCTAAGTTCTCCGAATTTTCGTGTGTATAATCCCATGGATATGAAGCCTGGAGCACCTAATTTTTTTTCTCAAAATCTTTATAAGGACCTCCATAATAAGTTGGGGAACCTTCTCATATACTCACACCATTTTTAACGCACATTTTCTCATTTACAATCCTATTTTTAAGAATCGCCCAAATTCTTCGATTTTTCGTGTGTATTATCCCTTGGATCTGGTGCCCTGAGCGCCCAAAATTGTTTTCTCAAAAAAACTTTATGTAAACCTCCGTAATGAGTTTGGGAACCTTCACGAATACTCACAAAAAAAATTTAATGCCTATTTCTGCATTTAGAAGCCCTTATTTAAGAATCACCCAAATTCGCTGCATTTTCGTGTATATTATTAGCCCATGGATATGGTACCCGGAGCATCCAAATTTTTTTCTCAAAAAACTTTATGACGAACTCCATAATGAGTTGGGGAACCTTCACGTATCCTAACACCATTTTTTCAACGCTTATTTTCGCATTTACAAACCTTTTTTTAAGAATCGCTCAAATTTTCTGATTTTTCATGTGTATTAGCCCATGGATATGACGCTTAGTGGACCTAAATTTTTTTTCTCAAAAAACTCTATGAGGACTTTCGTAATTACTGGGGAACCTTCACATATACTCACACCATTTTTTTAACGCCCATTTTCTCACTTACAATCCCTTTTGTAAGAATCGCCCAAATTTCTCGATTTTTCTTGCGTATTATCCCATGGTTCTGAAACCCGAAGCGCCTAAATTTTTTTTCTCAAAAAACATTATAAGGACCTCCGTAATGAGTTGAGAAACCTTCATGTATACTCACAAAAGAATTTTAACCCCCATTTCCACATTTACAAGCTTTTTTTTTAGAATCGTCCAACATCCCCTAATTTTAGTTTGTATTAGCCCATGAATCTGGCGCCCGAAACATCTAAAAAAAATTTCTCAAAAACTTTATGAGGACCACCTTAATGAGTTGGGTAACCTTCACGAATTCGCACACCATTTTTTAAACCCCCATTTCTGCATTTACAACCCCTTTTTAAAGAATCTCCCAAATTTCCCTATTTTCGTGTGTATTAGCCCATGGATTGGCGCCCGGAGCATCCAAAATTTTTTTTTAAAGAAACTTAATGAAAACCTTTGTAATGAGTTGAGGAACCACCACGGATACTCACACCATTTTTTTAATGTCCATTTTCGCATTTATGAGTCATTTTTTAAGAATCGATCAAATTCCTGGATTTTTCGTGTGTATTAGCCCATGGATTGGCGCTCGGAGCACCCAAATTTTTTTCTATAAAAACTTAATGAAAACCTTTGTAATGAGTTGAGGAACCATCACGTATACTCACACCATTTTTTTAATGTCCATTTTTGCATTTATGAGCCATTTTTTAAGAATCACCCAAATTCCCTGATTTTTTGTGTATATTAGCCCATGGGTCTGGCACCCAGAGCACCCCATTTTTTCTCAAAA